CATGTAGCTTTGAGCAAAATTCAGAAACAAACACAAACAATACCAGAGCTATTACCTTTAAAATGTATACCCTTTGTATTTTCTTTATAAGTGGTAAGAGTTTTAATTTTCTTTTTTAGCTCAATAATCGATTTATTTTAGCTGGATTTGTTATGATAAACATTGGAAATTTTCTTGTTAGTGACAATTCTACTTTGAGTCTTTATGTTTTGGTTTTGCTTTCTATAGCTACAAAAAGTCGACCAAATGATATAAAACATATCTGCACGCGGAAAGCATTGGCCAAATACACAAAAAAAATAAGTTAAAAAGGGATACCACACGTTTTGAACCGAATAAATTCACTACGCGTTACGGGGGCGAACTCACGCCGTGCTTTCCTCATTCGTGTCCTCACACGACAATAGAGATTTGTGGTCGAGTTGTCAGTCTTTAACCACTCAACCAACCGTGTAATATTTACAATAATGCAGGAAAGTATAAAAAAAATTGATTTATCCTTAGATAAACGCAATATAATACCAAACAATATTTTTTTTCCAATGTGCGCTAATTTTTCAGGATTTTTCTAAACTGTAAACATTAACAACCCAAACTTATTCAAAAACCTACAACAAAAAAATTCATTTTCACTTATGCTCTAAATGTTTTTTTTTTTCTTCCACATCATTACATACGTTCAAACACTGCATTATGCGTGAGAAATGGGAAAAATTACCGTGACTTGGTTACTCTGATTATATCTCTATCTTGGCACCAAACTGATAAACAATTTGATTCTCTTCACTAACGCCTAAACAGAATACTGAAATGTCATTTCCGTTTTATGAATGTCTGTTTTAAATAGTTGGATATGACTCAAATGATCAGTTATCTGATATAATCTAAACAAGGTCACACATTTTTATGCAATGAGGCTTACAAGAATGCCGTAGCGTTCTCATGGCCTGGTGGTTAGTGCGCTTGACTCGCAATCTGTGGGTCGCGGGTTCGAATCCCCATCCCACCAAACATGCTCGCTTTTTCAGCCGTGGGGGGTGTTATAATGTAACAGTCAAGCCCGCTATTCGTTGGTAAAAACGTAGACCAAGAGTTGGCGGTAGGTGGTGATGACTAGTTGCCTTTTCTCCAGTCTTACACTGCTAAATTAGGGACGGCTAGCCCAGATAGCCCTCGTGTAGCTTTGCGCGAAATTCAAAAAACAAACTGTAACGTTGTCAAACCAAGCCAAGCGTCTGAATCGGTATTTAGTCATTGTGCTCGACTTGGGAGGATCAGGCTCAGTTCAGAACTCTTCGTCCTATAACGTTGTCAAACCAAGCCAAGCGTCTGAATCGGTATTTAGTCATTGTGCTCGACTTGGGAGGATCAGGCTCAGTTCAGAACTCTTCGTCCTATAACGTTGTCAAACCAAGCCAAGCGTCTGAATCGGCATTTAGTCATTGTGCTCGACTTGGGAGGATCAGGCTCAGTTCAGAACTCTTCGTCCTATAACGTTGTCAATAAGCTATTTATTAGTTTTTCGAATTTCGCGCAATGCTATTCGATTGCAATTTGCGCCAGCCGTCTTCCCCATCGCGGGGAATCAAACCCCGGATTTTAGCGTTGTAGGTCTGTAAACTTACCGCTGTCCTACCAGGAGGACCGTTAGCCTTTTTTTAATTTTGAAGTGATAGATTAGAGAAAAAGCAGTTAGTCAAAACCACCCACCGCCAACTCTTTGGTTACTATAATCGAACAGTAGGATTTGACCTACACCCTTATAACGCAACCACTGACGATAAATCGCGTAAGATCTACAAACATTAATTTACATATATTCCACTTGATCTACATAATATACATTCTTATATTAATTGCTTTCCAACCACTGATACGACTTCCAAACACGATGCTTAAACTGATTATTTTTCGGAAAGGGGGCGGAAGGCCACCTGGAGGAGTCACTTGTTTCAACCACTCTCACCGCTATACAGTAGTGTATTGTATGTTACTGAGTCATTAGACAATAAAATTACGTCATATAATGGACGCTTAACGTTGCAATTTTTACTGTCGTGACGTCAGTAAAACGTGCGCATGCAATGAATCACGAGAAGAATTATGCACTGTGTATCTTTTGGATGTGCATTGTCCAATGACTAACTCACCCAACTGCAGATCTAAGGTTTTGTGGTTCGTGTCGCATTAAAAAAAACACGCTCTGCACTTTGGTGACGTGAGTGTGTTATAAGAGTGTCAGTCAATTCCCACTATTCGCTCTGACAATAGTAGTCGAAGAGTTGGCAGTGGGTGGTATTGACTAGCTGACGTTAGTGTTAGACTCGAGAAGAGCCAACTAGCCAATACCTACAATAGGGACAGTTAACGAAGATAAAAATCTCGTATATCTTTCAACGAAATTCAGATTAGAAACAAACAAAAATCGAAGACATTTTTGAAATGTTCATTTATTTTGTTACACCCCATGTCAGTATTGATACAGCACTCAAGATGAATGAGTGTTCGAGATCACTTACAATGAATCCCTGATACAGAGAAAAGGAATACAGAGGGTTGAGTACGTTAAATTAAAATCATTTTTAATATCCACATACGCAAGGCACGTGATAACTACAGCCGACATAAAGTCGTCGTGGAACGGAATGTATCAGAACTACATTTTGACATTGTTTGGCGTTACGTAGGGAGTGGGATTTTGGAAAGGGTATGTAACAGTCATTTCCAACATAGAATATTCCCACACTCAGATCATAAAGATGCGTTCACATTGGGGTTTATAACTTCAAAGACAGGGATATCCTTTGTGCCTAGTGGCGACTGTAACAAGTTGCATGCCATCTGGGGTAAGCGAGGTGCAGCATC